ATCTCTCCTCAAAGGCCAGGAAAATCCTGCTATAGATGGAAGCCCCATTATTCTGGATCCTCTTTACTGTCTTCACCCAGATTTCTAAAAAAAAAAACTATTGCCACCTTTCCCCACATGATTTTGTTCTGGTAAAATGGGATCTTGACATTTTGAATTCCACTTCTCACCTTCCTCTCCTCTCCCTCAAGACTCTCATTCCATTCTTCACATTGTCTTAGGATCATTTGGGGAGGCCAATCAGAAATTCTTCCTTTTTCTGTGTCCTTCCCTGAAGAATTGTACCATAACCCCATTTGAACTTGAGAAGAGACTGGATCCCCATGAGGAAGAACCCAGCAATACTTGGGCAATTATATGCTGTAGTAATTTTCCATTCCTCTGAGGGACCTATGGCCATTTTTTTCAGGTAATTATACACTTGGGAAAGGAATACCCAAACCTGTCTAGGACTGTTGAATAGAAGGTTCATTTTTATATACTAGCCCCCTAGAGTAAATCACACCCCACCCATTAGAATAGAAGTTAACAGGATTCAGAAATTAAAGAGATATTGGTTATGGTTCATCTCATAGTTCTGCCAGGTTGACCATCATATCCTTTGATAATTTACTCAGTACTAGACCATAAACTAGGAATGGATATACTAAACAAGTGGTAATCACTAAACATAGTGATTTATTCAAATACAGTAATCCACAGAAGCAGAAAAATACAAATAGAAGAGACTGAATTTTCCCTCAAGCCCAAATGGGCAAAGGGGACAAAAGAGAATGAGAATAAAGAAACAAGATATCATTCATAGCAGGAATCTAGAATACTTAAATAAGGGACCAGGAAAAACAATAACGATAAGAAAGAAAAAATCAAAATCAACAAACTATGAACCAGAGACACTCTATGGGGGGGGGGGGAAGGAGGGGTTGGGGTCAAAATAAGGGGGTTGTATTGTATGGGAAATATAAAAATAAAATTTAAATTAATTAATTAATTAAAAAAAGATATAATACATAGGTAGAGTTCAGCATCCTGGGGGAGTTGTTAAAAATGCAAGTTCATAGGACCTTCATCCAGAGATTCTCATTTAACAGAACTGGGCAGCATCTGGGAATCTGCACATTAAAAGTTGTACAAATGATCATTATACTCTCTGGCCTTGGGAATCATCTGTCTTTTGCTGGAATCTGGAGACTTAGGTCATAAGGTCTTCATACAGTCATTTGATGGGAAGGAGGAACTGCCAGTGTTCACAAGGTCGGGCATGTAGACTGAGAAACACATTCACATTTACAACTCCTTCCCCTCACTCTTGAAATATGACAGGTAATCACACAGCTAGGCTCCTATCTACAGTCAAACAGTTCACCTAAATCAAGAAACCAAAGTCCCGAATAAGGAAAAGATAATGAAGCTACGGAAAGAAGTTTCATAACTCCACAGACAGTTTTCATACTGTTTTCACTCTGACTTTTCATTTAGTGAAGACATTGCCCAGAGCTTTCCTGATCTGAAAAACATAGTTCCAGGAATAAATCTTTTTACCAGTAAAACAGGCACCAGAAGTTATGGAAGATCATGAAGGTAGCTCAAACTTGGCCTTTGTTATACACATTAAAGAATTTACTTACAAATTTACTGATGTTTGGGCAGAACGAGCAGCCAGTTTTTCCTTAAGAAGTCTTCATGTGCATAGCTTGAGATGAGATGTTTTTTACTTTAACTGCCTTGAAATAATTCATCTTTACTATGTCATGATGTGATGAAATCTACAAGGAAGTGAAATATATTGAGAGATAAAAACAACATAAAATTTATTTCTACTGAGAAATGGTCAAGTATCTTAAGTTCCCTCTTAAAATGTCACTTCATTCAATTCTCTGCTCCCTTTAAAAAAAAAAGGTCTGCTTTCCATATAATGCTTTCCTTAAAGAAAAGCAGTAACTTTTAATTGTCTTGAAAGCATAAACAAGCAGTGAACTGCAATTTTTCAATTCAAATGACAGAGTATAGAGTGAAAAAAAAAAATCTACTCATTCTCCAAGCAATGTAACACTTATTTAACTATTAAAACTGTATGAAACTCCCCGGCTGCCGGCGAGGACATGGCACGCAGACCTCCCCTGCCACGCCTGCTGCTCCCCTCAGCAGTCTATTTTGTCACTCTGCCTGTTTTGTTCCCTGCTCTGGCTCTGGTGAATTCTCTCACCCTCCCACACTTCTGATTGTACCCAGTGCTTGTATAAATAAATAAATAAATCTAAAAAAAAAAAAAAACCTGTACAAAACTGTCTTTAAAAATATTTGTTTTTCACTGCTTTTTTTAATATTTTATTTTATATAATTCTTACATCATTTTTCATCTTTGTATAATGTATGCATTTTCATTTTGGTTCTATTCCCCATACAATTGCACCCCCCCTTATTTTGACTCTAGTTCTTCCTCTCTCAGCCCCTCCATAATCCCCCCCCACAGTGTGTCTCTGGTTTATAGTTGCTTGTTGATTTTGATTATTACTTTGCATTTTCAATGCAATTTAACAAATAAATGATAAATACCCTTTTCTAACCTCTTTGTACTTACTGACATATCATTCTTTGTAATAGTTGTAGAGCATAACAAAATATATTCTACCAATATTTAACTTTTTCTATTAATTCAATTAATAATGCTTTCCTGAACTGCAAACATATTTTGACATAAATCCTGGCTCACTATTACCAGTTTTTCCCATAGAAATAAAACTGCTGAGTGACAATGTTATGCATTTTATATTCTGATAGGTACTGTCCTCCAGATACACCCATTCATAATCCCACCAACAATGCCCATTAGTGTTCTGTTACCTGCTCTAGACATATCCAATCTTTGTAATTGTTCAAATCTGATGGGCAAAAAAAACTCACCTTAATTTTAAGTTATAGTTTCCTAATTGGTAATAAATTTTATGACTTTTTTTCGATACTTAATATAGGTATCTGTATTTTTTTCCACTGGATTTATCATTCTTTATGCTACAATTACTTGAATTACATCCATATTAAGTAGAAACTCACAAAATGATATCACAAAATTTTGCTTTAAACAGTTTTATGGGTGCGCAGACCTCTCCTGCCGCCCCCTGCTCCCCTCAGCAGTGTACTTCGGTCCTTCTGCCTGCTCTGTTCCCGGCTCTGGTTCTGGTGAATTCTCTCACCCTGCCACGCTTCTGACTGTACCCAGTGCTTGTATAAATAAATAAATAAAATAAATAAATCTTAAAAAAATAAAATAAAATAAACAGTTTTATGCTTTTTTAAAAAATTAAGATAAATAAAATTACCTATTACATTCCCCCTATACTCACCATTTCAATATTCTTCATTCCTTGCTGAAGATAGTTTCCACTTGCTGTTACTTTTCTTTGGTTTATAAGACATCCGTTAGCATTTTTTCTATTACAGGATTCCTGTCTATGAATTGTTTCAGATGAAACTAGGTTTATTTCACCTTCATCCTTCAAGGATAATTTTGCTGCACATTAAATTCTAACTTGACAGTTGTTTATCTACTGTTTAAAGATACTGTTCCATTTACTTCCTTCACAGTTTGATGAAGTCAGATGTAAGTCTAATCATTTGATTTTTAAAAAGTTATGTGTTGGTTTAGTCATTAACTGCTATCAAGAATTCCTTCATGACTTGCATAGGTATAATACTTTCATTCTTCCAAGTTGAGGTTTGCTGGGCTTCTTGAATACTGAAATTTTGTCTATTGCCACATTACAGAAATGCTCCCTCATCTCTCCTTCTTGGAGTCCAATATCACCTATAATATTTCTCCACTGATAATTAAAACTTTGTTCTTTTCATCTTTTAAAAATTTCTTTTTAGACTAATTTATATTGTTCTATCTTCAAATTTATTGATTCTGTCCTGTGTCATCGCCATTCTGCTGACTAGCCAAAATGAACATTTAAATATCTAATATTGTATATTTCAGGCTCGAATTTCCATTTCATTAATTTCTTACAGTTATTATTTCTCCGAGATTTCCAATATTTTTATTAACAGCAAACATTTGTTATAACTACTTCACAATCCTTTCCTGCTAACTCCACCATGCAGGATAGCTCAGTCTCCATTGTCTTTTCTTAAGAATGAGATGTGCTTGTTTTCATATCTAGTAATTTAAAAAAATATCCCAGGTATTGTAAATGTTATATTCTTCTGAAGAGTATCAAATCTTTGTTGTTGTTTTAACAGGCAATTAAAGTGGTTATCAAGCTGCAAATTTATTCTCTAGAGCATCAGCTCAAATCTCAGATCAGATTTTGTAGCTTTGACTGGGCTGTTTGAAGTCTGGTTGTTCAGGAAGCCAAGTTTATGTCAAAGGAGTTTTCTGCTGGCACTACTCCATTCTGAGCCCAGCCCCACAATTCCCTCTTGTAAAAGATGGCTCATTTTACTAAGAGAGTCATTTGTGTAGTTTTAGCTCAACGGAAGCAACTGAGCCTGGAGATTCCTAATTGAGATAAGTATAATTGTCCTAGTGATATATTTCTCTGTCAGCTACTCACAAATTTGTTCAAACTCTAAGCCTGTTGCACTTCTGATCTTGGGAGTAATATCAGGATCCTATTCAAATTTATTCTTTACATGTACAATTAGTGGTTTCTAAAGGTATCTTGGATCTTGCTTGTACATCTCTCAAAAATTCCTAAAGTCTTTGGGCTTACCAGTTTTCCTACTTTGCTATTTTATCTGTGTCTCTGTGTGTGTGTGTTTACCATTTTAATGGGCATTTAAGATAAGGGAGATATGAGAGCATATATTTAACAGTCTTCTTCCTTTGAAGTTAACAGTTAAACAAAATTTCAGAACAAAAACTCCAAGCATATATCAATGAAGATGGTTTTATTGAATAATAGGTCAGGGCCCATAAAAATCAAGTACTCTAGTACAATTAAATCATATTCAAAATTATAAACTTTAAATATGAAAAAATATACTTTTAGTGACTGTCTAAACTATTAACCACTTATTATTTAAAATCTTCAAGATTAATGCACATATTTACTTCTTCGCTGAATCTCCAAATAAGTAAAAAGATTAATCAACTAAAATTTGTTATCAATTAAATCAGAGGAAAGCTTTTACTTAGAAAAGCTACTGTATATTAAGAAAATGTAGCACATGCTCAACTGAGTTCCCTGTGCCCATTTCATACTAAAGAATCCCATGCTTGCCTCTCACCTCTCCTAACAAAGCATACGAAAATCCCATACATAAAAAACCTTAGAGTTTGATCTCCCCATTCATTATTTGATCATAAAGTTCTTTGGTCAGTGGGACATAAGATTTCTTCAAGGAATCCATGAAGTAAAGTGGATCAGAAATTTTCAGTGGACTAAATCCTTCTTCTACCAACTGAAACTTCTGTGGTTTGAATGTACCTGTCATTTCCATCTTTTCCTATAAAGCAATAACCGTGATTAGTGGTATTAAACATTTAATATTTTCTATAACATATAAATAGCATATTAAAAATAATATTTAACTATAATATTTAATATTTATATTAAATATTATTTAACTATAATATTTCCTGTCCAATGATCATCTCTATATTTAGCATAACATTAGAAGTAAACTTAGAACATTTAAATGTTTAGCTTGATTTACCAGCAAATTTAATTCAATATAAAAGAATTTTGAATATAGTCCACAGCTAATTAGAAATACCTAAAATACATAGGTTTATTCCTTCAATTCAATGTCAGTACAGTATTGTGTACTGAGAGCTAGTAAACACTAAGAAGATAAAAGATATAAAAGATAGCAATCTATTCCGTAACACAGAGTACTATTAAGAACTAGAGGGAGTAATGAAAGCTCTACAACTTGGTTTCCCACTCAGATGCCTTGAGGTACATCTGTGAATTTCCAGTCTGCATGGAATACTTTCAATTTTCAAAGCAAACCTAGTGACATTTGTTGGCCACCAATCTCAAACTACTAGCTCAAGGTAATGTAATTCACTTTAATTAATATTAATAATTAATAAATTAATTCAGTTTTATTAATTGTGATACATCTTTTTAAGTGATGTCATCTATTGCAAAAAAAAAGGGGGGGTGGTTTAGTGGTTGCTGTGATTTAAAATTAAAAAAAATGGCAAGTACAGCCAAAAAATCAACATGATCCTGTCTGGTTCAATGTAATTCCGAGGTTTGAAGAATTGTGCAATGCACAACTTATATTTTTTTGGTACTTGTGGTTATTTAAAAGTGAAAAAAAGTATCATTTTAGATTTGTATGCATTATTTTTTCAAGTGAAAAATTGTTAGACCAAAATACTTAGTAATTTGTTTTTACCTAACTATTTATGCTTAGGTTTTGGCCCAAATGCTATGAAAAAAATTATAGAGACACTAAAGATGTCATGAATTTATAAAGTTTGAGGATCTCTGCTTTAAGGGATGAAAAGGAGATGAGAGGTATCTTGGTGGTAGTTTCAGGCATACAGAAGAAACCTTGTTTTAAATGAAGCACATGTAGAGATCAATATAAGGTTTCATGAGTAACATGGCCATTTTTATTCATCTACCTGAACTAATACAAGTGTCAAATTCTCTTTGAATCTCCTCCCTTGATTCTGTCCACAGTCCCCTCCCCCAACACTATCATCAGAGAATTAGATATGACTGTAGAAACATATACATTTTCTCTTTTTTAAAAACAACAGAAGCACATAGTATTTGTGCAATTTGATGTTTTTGCCTCTTTTTAAAAAAAGCAGTGTTACACTAGATATATTTCCCTCAGGTCAGGTAATTTTCATTAAAGCAGTACTTTTTAACTGGTCCAACCATTATGGAAAGCTGTGTGGAGATTTCTGGACCTACTAAACATAGAGCTTCCACATGACCCAGCAATTCCACTCCTAGGTATTTACCCAAAGGACACAGAAACATCAATTCCAAAGAGCACCTGCACCCCTATGTTTATAGCAGCACTATTTACAATAGCTAAGCTTTGGAAACAACCCAAATGCCCAAAAATAGATGACTGGATCAAGCAGATATGGTACATATACACCATGGAATATTACTCAGCATTCAAAAAAGATAAACACATGCAATTTGCAGCAACATGGATGGAGCTGGAAGGGATCATGCTCAGCGAAATAAGCCAGAAAGAAAAAGAAAAATACCGGATGGTCTCACTCATAGCAGGAATCTAGAAAACTTAAATAAGGGACCAGGAAAAAGAATAATATAAGAAAGAAAATATCAAAATCAACAAACAACTATGAACCAGAGACACTCTATGGGGGGTGGGGGATGGGGAAAGGAGGGGTTGGGGTGAAAATAAGGGGGTTGTAATTGTATGGGGAATACAAAAATAAAATTTAAATTAAAAAATAAAATAAAATAAAACAGTACTTTTTAATGGTCTCAACGATCTCATATAGTTATAACACTGTAATTAAACTTGTTCTTATTCTTGAAATTATAGATAATATCAAAAGTTCTTACTATAATAAGCAGTAGTTTGAAGAACAAATTCATGTAACATTTGCATCTTTGATTACTTCCTAAAGATTATTCTGGAAATAAAATTACAGTGTCAAAATACATATAAGTTCTAAAAGCGTGGTCATATATTCCCAAATTGTAGTCTAAAGAAGTTATAGCAATTTGTATTTCCATAAGCAGGATGAAAGAACCAACTTAATTTCATTCCAGTCATACTGGATATTGTCACATCTTTTTTTTTTTGCAAAAACATCCTTTATTAATATTTGTGCTACACAAATTTTTGGTAAGGTTGTGTTCTATTCATTTTATCAGAAGCAACATTCTTTTGCATTTTTTATATCATATAATTTATTATAATTCATTTGGACTGCCAACTAAGTATCTTGCAGTGTGCTAAATGTAGCAAACACTACAATAAACATAACAATCATGACCCATATCCTTTTAGGTGTTTAATGATGCTAAGATATTTTCTTAAATTTGTACAAGTCTGACATAGTTCTATGGAAAATATTCCTTTTGCTTAGTGAATTTTAAGTTGCTCTAGAGGAAAAAATATATATTGTTATTTTATTTATCAATTCTGTATTCCATAAAAAATAGGTTGTTTCTATGGTATGATGGAACTGGGTATGGTTATGTAAGGGCAATGTGAGGGATCCTTATGGAATTGTTCATGCCTTGACTGTAGTTCCTGATACATGAAGCTACACAGGTAGTGAAAGTACACAGAACTTAAGACACAGACACACACAAGAGAGCACAAATTAAACAGGAAATTTCATTATTATACAGATTGTCTTAGGGGCCTCCCTGGTGGTCCAACAGGTTAAGACACAACCTATGAAGCTATCAGCAGCCACTGCAGCATGAGTTCAATCCCAGACAGGGAGGAGACTCACATGGTGCAGCAGACCTCTCCTGATTTGCCTGCTGCTCCCCTCAGTAGTGTATTTCAGTCAGTCTGCCTGTTCTGTTCCCCACCTTGTCTCTGATGAATCCTCTCACCCTCCACACCTCTGGCCTGTACCCCAGTTCTTGTATGCATAAATAAATAAATCTTAAAAAAAAAAACACAAAGTAAATGTTCTAGATGTGATAATTTTGCAAAATGTTACCACTGGAGGAAACTGAGAAAAAGATACACAGCATCTCACTATTAGTTCAAACAACTTCACACAAAACTACAATAATTTCAATAACAATTTACATTAAAATGTTATTTCTGCTTTATATTTACTTGCATTTAGTATTTCACAAGGTTGTTCTGAAAATATATATGAGACAATATATGTAAAAGTTCTTAAAAATTTAAAAAAAGCACATGAAATATGTATTTATGACAGTTAAATATTGTGTTCTATTGACCAAGCAGTGACTTGGCCATAGACTGACTTAGCAAATGCTTTAAAAATGAACATGACACCACTCATTACTCCATTAGAGATGTATGTCAGACAGTAAAATTACCTGAATTCTTAAAAATCGTGGGCAGGCATAAGCTGGTAAATATGTTACAACTTGTTCATAAGCTTTTTCCAAGTCTAAAGTCTTATTTGGTTTTAGAATAATAGAAGCCATTCCAGCTTTTCCTTCATACTCTGGAGGGAAAAAGTTTGAAATGAAGTAAATTTTATAAGTACTCAATAGACATAAAAATAATCCTGTTAATTACATAATAATTGTTACAATTGCATACTAATTACAATAGTTGCAAATAGAGACAGCAAATCTACTTCAGGAATAACAGTACAACAGTAGCAAAAATGTGAGGGTCCTTCCCTGAACTTATGATTTACTGATCAGAAATAATTTGGGAATAAGGAAGAGTATACCTAACTGTCTACACTACAGAATACACAATCCATAATTTTCATCCTCTCACCATTAATATGAAATATTAGGACAGGAAGCATTTACTTAAAACCCATATTTGGAAATGCCCATATCTGCATCAATGCAAAAAAAAAAAAAAAGGCATATTTTTAGTTAAGAAACTAGAAAATGAGGCCTCCTTGGTGGTGCAAGGGTTAAATCTCAGCACTATGAAGCTATCTGCAGCCACTGTAGCACAAGTTGGATCTCAGCCAGGGAGCTACCCACAAGGCACAGCAGACCCCTCCTATCTCTGCTCCCCTCAGCAGTGTATTTCAATAGATCTGCCTGATCTCTTTCCCACTCTGTCTCTGGTGAATCCTCTCACCCCATCACATCTCTTGCCTACACCCCAGCTCTTGTATGCATAAATAAATAAAATAAATCTTAAAAAAAAAGAAACTAGAAACTGTATTTCCATAACTAATTCCACAGATTGCTTACTATTATTCACACCACCTATGAAGTTTTTCCAGGAGATCAGAATTTACTGTTGCATTTCTCTAGCACCCAGTAGATGTCTAGGAGAGTAATCATCCCCTTTCTCTTCCTTCTATCCAAATGCTCCCACCCCCCAGTGCTTCTTGCATCTATGTATAGTAATTGGAAGATACTACCATTTGTATTTTAAAAAAAAGAGTAAAGGGAAACAGCTGTCCTATATCTTCAAGTAGGTTATTTTGTCATTTTCATGAAACAATCATTATGCATATTTACACAGATAAATGAAGCCACACAGATCTCAAAATATTTTAAAAAGAAGATACAGCTTAACTGCTATTCAGTGTTATTAGATATTTAACCAGAATAGGTTCCCACTTACTAAAACTTAGAAATCTTAGCCATAAAGAGAAGAATAATCGACTATTGAAAAGCTATAATTATTTTCCAGCAGTGAGTCACCAACCAAACTTTTGAAGTTTTGTTTAAAATTACATAAACACGTTAAAATTCAGTTGGTACCTTGTCCTTGATGTGACCATAGAGTTTGTTTGCTTGATCTAGGGCACTACTTCGCAAGACATAACTAAGATACTTATTTTAAAATATAAAAAATAAAATGTTAAATTAGTAAGATTACTGCAAATTTAAAGAACAGTACTAGCACATTCTATGCTGAGTATCCTTCCAAAACACAGAATATCTTCATACCAGGCACTGTCACACCATAGACATTTGTTTCCTGTATGAAATCCAACTTCCCAATAACTTCGGCAACCTCTGTAGTTGCAACATTTTCTCCTTTCCATCTAAATTAAAAAAAAAAAAAGTTCCAGTTAATTCACCAATATTTGAAGAACCAGGTATCCAGTTTTAGTTTGACTGCCTTGCATTTAGTTCTGTGTAAAAGCAACCAAAAATAAAGGCAACTTTCAAAATGAAAGGCATTTAAAAAAATACAAAAGAACACATCTACTTTTATTTATTGGCCTTTCAATAAGCTTAGATCCTTGAAAGGCACAGCACCAAGCGGATTCTGTGTCCTTGGCCTTAGCAGAAAGTGGCTTTGCAGTTTGGCGAGAACCACACCTCGATTTCCACTGTACTCTCACGTTTCCCCTCATAACTCAAGTTACTCAGTTTGCCACTGTGTTGTTCTTTGCATTGTACACATAAACACACCTCCTGCCTAGACAGAATCTAGTTTCATCTGGAGCATAAACACCTTCAATTTTAAGAAGAGCTGTTTGTGCTCTCTGGCCCCAGAGACCCCAATTGAAGTCAGCAAAAAGGGCTTTGGGCCACAGCCTCCCAGTCATATTTTAGAAGTCCTATTCACAGCAGACCTTAGTTATTTGCCCCGCCAAAGTTCGGCAGCAGGAATTTCACTCAATGAATGGCATTTTTTTTTTTAAATAATAAATTTTATTTTTATATTCCCCATACAATTGCAACCCCCCCATTCTGACCTCAATCCCTCCTCTCCCACCCCCCACCCCCCCAAAAGTGTCTCTGGTTTATAGTTTTTTGTTGATTTTGATTTTCACTTTCTTATAGTTATTCATTTTCCTGGTCCCTTATTTAAGTTTTCTAGATTCCTGCTATGAGTCAGACCATCCGGTATTTTTCTTTTTCTTTTTTGCTTATTTCGCTGAGCATGATCCCTTCCAGTGCCATGAATGTCATTTTAAGGAAGAATTTTGTTAGTAAGTCAAAAACATCAGTACTTTTTTGTTAAAATTACTTTATCTGGGTCTCGTTAGTATAAACTGCTTACTGTAAAACTTTTATAATGTCATAAAAATAATGTTAAGTACTTCTTTATTTTGTAATATAATAACAAGCACAAAATATTCTCTTACCTCTCATGACAAAGATACAAAAAAGAAAGGAAAATTGTTGTATTTCAGTGTACTGACCTTTGATTTCTAGTTATTAACACTATTAGCTGTTTTATTCCATTATTTTAATTAAAATAGTCTTACATAAAGTAACTTTAAAACATAAAATAACTTTAAAACCTGGCGCAAGAAGGTGAAGAAATAGGAAGTATAATTTACTTATTCATTCCAGTATTTTCAAATACTTTCTATCTGAATAAGACTAGTCTAGTGATTGACTCATAAGGCAAAATATTTTCATTAACATAAACTAATCTCAATAAAAAGGGAAATCAGGCTGTTTCATTAATTTTATCAGTAGTTCAAGAATTAGAACATATTTTACCCAACTGGTTGTCTGTTTTAAGAAGACTATTTAGACTGCTTAAGTAGTCTACATTCTAAAATAAGAGACCAGGAAAAAACCTAATTATAATAAAGTAAAAATCAAAATCAACAAGCAACTATAAACCAGAGACAGACTGCAGGGGGGAGGAGGGAGTAGGATCAAAACAAGGGGGGTGGGAATTGTATGGGGGCTATAACCAAGATGAAAATGCATACATTGTGCAAAAATGAAAAATGATGTAAAAATGTATAAAAAAGAGGAGCTCATTGATTTGAAACAAACTGGCACATTAAAATAATTAAACAAACTGGCACATTAAAATAATTATCAAAATTGACATCAAAATTGAACATATATGTTTCAATGTAGAAACAGATGGCCAATGAATTTTTAAATGGGAAGACACAGAGATAAAAGGGTTCTGCCCCCAAGGTTACACAGCAGGTAGACTATTCTACAGTGTTTCCATGAAGCCTTCCTCTAAGCCTGCTTCCCAGTCACAGAACCAGTGATACCGTGTACCTGAAAGTGTCCCCGATACGGTCCCAAAAATAAAGGAAATTCTGATCTTCGAACATTAAATCTCCAGTGTTAAAGTAAACATCTCCCTTCTTAAAAACATCACAAAGCAATTTCTTTTCTGTGTGTTTCTTGTTCCCAGCATAACCAAAGAAGGGATTCTTGGCATTTACTGGAGAGATGAGAAGTCCAGGCTCTCCTGGTAGAGAGAAAATGTACTTTCAGTTACTATTTGACACAATTATCATACACACCATGTATGTACCTAATTATATCTGAACAATATAGCCAGGATTGGTCATCTTAACTACCTCTGAACCTATTTTTATCATATACTCTGGCTGCTTACTTCTGAGCACACCCTTTCACAGATGGCCACAAACACAAATGAAAGTGGGAAAACAGAAAGGAAAATGAATGTAAAGGAAGGGATATTACATTTGTTTTACCTCCTTAGTAGATAGACCAAAGGCTACTTTGCCTTCAAATACATAACACTGTAATAATGATAATTATATAAATAATAATCATAAAAATAATCTTAAGAAAAAGATAGTAGCAATATTTATTGGGTACTTACTAGATGTCAAGCCCCATGAGGCCTCTGCAACTGCATCATAATACATTTCTTCACAGAAATCCTCTGAAATTAATATTACATTCCCCGATTCACAGGGAGGGAACTAGGGCCCCGAAGGATGAAGCAAACTGGCAAAGTCAAATGGACTGAAAGGCATGTAGCTAGAACTCAAATTCAGGTCTCCAGGATTTATACAGAGGTTTTTGTATAATACTTTTCTGATCTAATTAATATGCTATTAGACATTTAAGAAAATGGCTCATTTCTCCAGAATGTCATTTTGGAAATCGGTAAGAATGAGATTAGGATATGAAATTACATTAGTTTTACATAACTTGGGCATATGATCTGAAATAACTTTTCAGTCAGATTTATTCAAATTAATCAAGATTTTGCCCAGTGATCTACAAGATAAAAAGCTGTTTCTAAGAGAAGGCAGAAAGACAAGAGGAGCTGCAGTCACGTTCCCAGAGGTTTCAAGGCTATTGTTGACTTGCTTTACCCTCTGTGCAGAGACAACATCTGCAGGATGCCTTAGGTGGGGGTGAACTGCAGCAAACAGTAAAGCAATTCATGTCACTGCAACACTCTGTTCACCTCTCCTTGGCACCTACTCCCACTTTCTGGCCTCCAGGGACACAAAGGCCTTGCCCAGACAAGCTTGCTCTGCAACAGCAGAGGCTCTTCATTGTCACCGTCAACACCCACACCATCATCATCACTGCCGTGGTGACACTCTGAGCACCAGTCAGGATTCTGAGCGCTTTACAAATGGATCCCATTTCGTCCTCAACAGAGGCTCTAATATCTTCATTTTACAGGTGAAGAAACAGAGGTCAAAGAAATTTCCCTCATGTTATATAGGTACCAGATGTTGGAGTTGGGAGTTTTTTTTGAACTAGGTCTCTCCTCCAAGGCATGTCTACCAGCCTACTGTTCCCTTATTTTGGAACTTTTCAGGCCTCTTAGCTTTCCCTTAAAATTTATGTTTGTGTTTTTTCTTCTTTAGGACATAGGTGAGTTTCTTTCCTGACAAATTAACTATTGCAAATGCTGAAAAAGGTTATAATGGGTTCACACCTATCCCTTCTAGGCATAATTTACCTGTGAAGAAACAATGTTTCAGTGGAAAAAAAATTGAGTAACCCATAATGAAAATTGCAAAATAGTAAAGCAGACATTTGGAGTCAATCTGCTTTTTCAGAAACCCCGAGGTTGCATAAGCATTTCAAGTTCCATTGTCAGATATTATTATAATTGCAATCAAACACACTAGAAAAGCATGCTCATTTTTCTTTGTAATCTCTTTAGAAACTGCTTTCCTCCTGGACACTGTTGATAAAGTTGAAATAGGGAAAGGTATTTGATAAAAATTCTTAGTCTTGAAATTGAAAGAACTGGACAACTTGTGTTTTAATAGATAAGTCTTATTTATGTATTTTTTCAATATTTTAACTAGCATAAAAGAAAAACAGATTTGCAACCTTTTCCTTCACATTTGAAGTTGTCAGGGTAAAAGGGGAAACTCCTCCTCCCCCCACCCCAGCATCAGACTGTTGGCAGAAGGAAAAAGATCAACTTGATAATGTGCACACTGGGAATCTATCTGGATCCAGCCTTCAGTGAGGGAAACTGTAAATCCTGAAGAAAGGAATGAGATAGGGGCCTGGGACACCAAGAAGCGAGGAGGAGAGGATGACTTCATGTTCACTCTGCATATAAAAACAGATTTCTCCAACAGAGGGGTTATTTTGACAGATAATCCTACATGTAGATAATACCCCCCTAATCTTCATTCTTCTAGGTAGTAAAAGGGAGTGGGCAACAGCTTCCTCAATTAGCATTAGGACAAGAGATAATCCTCAGCTCCAGGGCCTCATCTAATCTCAAGTCAATATAATTTGCATGTCTGAAGCGGGGTAGGTGGCTGAGGAGACCAGCTCTAAGAATCGCAGGGTGCTATCTTCTGAGCATCTTCAAAGTCAAGATTTAAAGGAAACATCTCTGAAATGTAGTTTTAATATATTCTAGGTCCTTCAAAAGTAATTTCACTGTCAACATTAACTTTATGAAATAAATGCTACCTCTACAATAGAAGAAAATGTGACTCATGCAGGTTGAGTGACCTGTCCAAAGCTGTCCAGTTATCAACTGTCAGGGTCTACATCTAAATCCAGGTTATACTTCAAATAAGAAATGAAGTCATTCATTTTTGTACTTTATTTTGGTGATACAGAATATTGGGTTTATGGCACTATTACAAACTAGAAGTCCTGGATTAAGCAAAAAAAAAAAAAATGAGCCACATAAATAATCACTTTTAAATTTTCATAATTTACCATGTGAGGGAGGTTCTCGCCCCTAACAAGCAACAATTAAATCATACTACCTGCAATGAACTTCCAAATAAGTGGCACTGCATATTAGAAGTAATCATTTTGTCTTTTCTAAATGGAGAAAGAATTAAATAAAAATTCAGAAACTTTGCTTGAGGAGACATCTTCAAACATAAGACTCTTACCTTTTTTCACATGACTACACCAACCCTGCTCATTTCTAATGGGTTCATCTTTCTGAAAATCATACTTTATTAAGTCAAAAGTGAAAAAAAGCTGCAAAAACAAAAATCAAACAGAAACAAGGATTTATTTATTTGTATAGTGACATCTACTGGTAGTGGATTTTTATGCTCAGACAATTGGAATACAGAATTAGAAAGTTAATTTAATAAAATAAGTAAGCTGTACTGATTAAAAAAATCAAATAACTATTTGAACAACAGAACTAATGGTGTTTAGTTTCATTTATGGACACATTACCTTAGTGACATGGTACTAATTTTAATTTTGAGTGAGTGAATCTAGCATCGAGCAATTTATACTTTGAATTACACACTCTACTAACTCCAGGGAAAGGATCACTTTCTTGTCCTGTTTTAACAATCACTCAAAAACAGTCCTTGAAATGGAGTTTTAATAGAACAGAAATGTAAACTATGTGAGGGCAAGGATTTTTTCTTGGCAGTTCCTAGAAAAGAGACAGGATGCCTGAAAAGTACTTGTAGTTTCACACTTGGACCAATCCCCAGGTCCTGCCCCCTTTTTGTCTCTAACACTCAGTGCCTCTGTCCACTGCGGTGGTATGGGATGGCAAATCTGCTTGAACACTCTTTATGTTGGCAAACAAGTTAACTGGACATCTCCCCTTGTCCCCAAATATTTTCAGCTCCCCCTGCTCCTGTCATGTCATATTACCGTCATGCAGATTCATTGATCCACTGCAATTTGACCCCGCAAGAAAAGTACAGATTGGTTCAATTCACCCCCCCTGATTTCATATATAAGAAAATCAGTATTTACGTAATCACTTTAATAAGCAGTCTTAATAGGTTAAATTAGAAAACAGTAAACTAAAATGGAGGCAATAAAATGAAGTAAGAAAAATTTATAAGGAAGAAGAAATAGAAGAGAGAAAAAAATGAAGAGAAGGGTGCTGAAGAGAAAAGTGAACAAATACAGAACAGGGAAGTGCGAAAGATCAGGAAGATTAATGAGATGATTGCAAGAGTACTATTTATCATAAAATTAAACACAAACATCTTTGGTGTTTAATGTTAGTAAAGTAAGCATATCACTAAGACCACAATTCATTATTTGAATTAAAACAGAAATAAGAGCAACTAATACTGATTAAGCACTTAGTGTATGTCAGACTCTGCCAAGAGCTTGAGAGCGGTATTTAATCGTTTACACCCTACAAGGTTGACATTAATAGTACCCTATTTTAAGATAAAGGCCAGAGAAAGAGGCAGCGAAGCAAGGCAAACTATGTTGTAATTCCAGATATAAAGATTATTAAAGCACAAGCTTGCCTTTTGGTCCTTGTAATTGGGGTAACAAGATATTGGCCACCTGCCTAATGACTGTAGAAAGATTCCACAAGTTCCGGAACTGCATTTATCATCTTGGCCAAACAAGAACAGAGGAATCTTCATTACCCATTCTTTTCTCTCTTGTTTCAACATGTTTCAGTTTTTGAAAACAATTCCCCAGAAGCTGGTGATATCAGTTTTAGGGGTTATTTGCTTTCAGATTAATTTGGCAACCATGTGTGTGGGAGAGATTCATTCCACTCCAAATCACTGTTCAGTGTGTCTGCTATTAGCTACAGGGAACTGATGATCAGAAACCAAATAATTTACAATCCAAATGAAATTTGAATGTGTCACAACATCTAGACAGAGCCTGAATCAGAGCTTCTTTCCTTCAAAAGGTCACACACGATTACAAAAGTCAAGTCTCCTAAATGTGTATGTGCAGTTATATAACAACATAGTTCTAAATGGGTCTGAGAGTTGTGTTAATTTGCAGCAACATGGACGGTGGTGGAAGGGATCATGCTCAGCGAAATAAGCCAGAAAGAAAAAGAAAAATACAGGATGGTCTCACTCATAGCAGGAATCTAGAAAACTTAAATAAGGGACCAGGAAAATGAATAACTATAAGAAAGTGAAAATCAAAATCAACAAACTACTATGAAGCAGAGACACTCTGTAGGGGGTGGGGGCGGGGAGGGGAGGGATTGGGGTGAAAATAAGGAGGTTGCAATTGTATGGGGAATACAAAAATAAAATTTATAAAAATATATATCTATGTATAAAAGAAAACATTTCTTTAAAAAAGATCAAGCAAAACAGAAAACTAAGAAAAATTTGAATTTCCTCAAATCTCACTCAAAAGTTAACCATCATAAACCTGGTATCTCTAAACATCCAGTCAAAGTGATCCCATTAAAGAGAAAAGATCCACTCAACCTTCAGATCAGTATCTTTGTTCTCTGACCTGTCACCAACATAATCTCACTACTATCCTCAAACACGCTAGGCATGCAGCCACCTGAGGGTCCTGTGCTGACTATTGAATCCACTTTGAATTCCTGATACATCTATTTCCTAAATCTTCCCTTTCTTGCCACTTTCTCAAAGAGGTTTTCCCTGGCTACCCTATCTAAAGTTGCAAAAATCCCTCTAACACTCACACATTCCTTTTCCTGTTTCGTTTTCCTTTTTAGCACTTAAAAGTACTTAATACAGAGTGTATTTTACTTATTTCTCTCACTTTCTGTTTTTCCCAAGAGATTATAACCTACACATGGGTGAAAATTTATGTGTTTTTTTCCCCATTGTGTTCACTGTGCCAGGCATATACAAAATATTTAACAAAAATGAATGCATTTAATGAACATCAGGTACAAACGTGTTTAAGTCTACAGAGAGAAAAGGAGGAAACTGATTAATAAAATAATTTATGAAAAATGAAACCAGACCATTTTAATAAATGCAGTTTAAATTTGCTTGAAGTTACAGAAATTGGAATTAAAGTAAGCTAAAATGTTTCATCAGCAAAAGACGTTTGCTTTCTGTGTGGTAAAAAATATAACCTTGCCTAAAAAGAGGTCTGGCTTTGTTATCAGTTTCTGGAATATAATCGCTAAACTCTTGCAATGTCATGAAGGGTTGGGGACTGTTTGTTTGCCTAAATGTCTTGGGCAATCAGATAGCGATAATATGGTGAAGAGCATCACCTCTGAGTTATACCAATAATGTGATGTAGGGTGAGGGCTCGGAGTCTCCTAGCTTGACCACCTAAAGGGCGGGAATGGAGGTCAGCCATGAAAGCAGCCAATTAGATTTACATCATCAAATCCCAAAATAGACTCTGGATACCAAGGCTGGGTTCAATTCTCTAGCTGGCAATATTCCATGCATATTGTCACACAAGGATTTCCAGAGAGCAATGTCAGCCTAACTCCTACCAGGAGGACAACACCTTGTATTTGACACTCACCTGGATTCTGCCCTGCGGCTTCTTCCCCTGACTGGTTTTAGTCTGTATCCTTTAGATGTAATAGAGGTAACTATGCATGTGACAGGTTTCAGTGAACTTTGTGAGTCTTTCCAGTTATTTAGCAAACCTAAGGGTGCTCTTAGAGACTCCCCAACCCGAAGGTGATGTCAGAAGCAAGGGTGGTCTTGTGTGGACTGTTCCCTAACTTTGTGGTTGGCTAATTCTCTAGACCCTGAGAGATGTCTACTGTAAAGACAAAAAAGTTCATAAAAATGTTTAGAAAGTGCTGATCCCATATTCTATCTTTACATTGTGGCTATGGATTTGCCATGGAATATTAGCATGTATATCCCGTCCTTTTTCCCACCCAACTCCCATTTTTGTTAGTGTTATATTTATTTTCGAACTGTCAGGATTTTTCCATTCCATTCCATCTGTATATGCAACTGTAAACTAGTGGATCTTCTTGTGTTTAAAGGATGCAATGCTTGCCATAAAATCTGTTAAGTGAAGGTAATTACATCCATTTCTAAATTCTGCTTTATCTTCAGGTTGGCCAGAAATTTGCACTCAGTGAATTTCAGGAGGGAACATTGTATTCCTATATATACATGGGTACTACTATATTCTTTGATATCTTAACATTTTGAGAACACTTTGCGGTTGCCTTTATACTTGAAGAACCTTTTCAGGACTAAAATTCTTTTTTTTTTTTTTATCAAAAAAAGATTATTTATTTATCAAGCACTGGGTACAGTCAGAAGCGTGGGAGGGTGAGAGAATTCACCAGAGCCAGAGTGGGGAACAGAACAGGCAGACTGACGAAATACACTGCTGAGGGGAGCAGCAGGCACAGCAGGAGAGGTCTGTAGCACCATGTGGGACCCTCGCCGGTGGCCAGGGATCGAACCGGTGCTGCAGAGGCTGCAAGCAGCTTCACAGTCCAGTGCTCAACTGCTGCGCCACCAGGGGAGGCCCAGGACTAAAATTCTTATGTGAAAACATGACTTCCCTTTTTCTCTGGCAATGAGTATTTTGTTTTGGAGGCAATCCTGAGATATTTTCCATCTTCACCCTATACTTTATAGATCACTTGTTTTTTCTATCTCATCATCTCCTTGTAAGTTCTATGAATTTTTTTCAATAATTTACCCAGACTACACTTTTTGGATGATTCTGTACCATATTTTTTTTTTTCTGGAACACAATCTAATCTTTTAATGATCCAAATCTTTATTTTAAGAACATTTCTTCTACTCGGTTTCAAATAATCCTGTTCTCTTAGATCTGTTATTTTTTGTTTATTCTTCAGGGACACCAATTAAGCAAGTATCAGATTTTTTTTGTTGCTGCTATTCTATCAAACACTGAAAAAGATGTACTAAAATATCCTACTATGATTCTGGATTTGTTTACTTTCCCTTGAGGTTATAAAAATATTGCTATATAAATTCTGAGACTTTTTCCTATATTTTCAGCTTTATTCTTTAAAAATAGTATTGCTGAATGAGTTCTATTTTGACAGTTATTTTCTCCAAGACAGTGGAAATTACCTGTCCGTTATCTTTTGTGATGCATGATTGCTACTGAGAAATCAGTTACTTGTCTTTTACTGCTAGGAATGTGGTTTTTTGCTTATTTTAAGATTCTATTGTTATCTTGACATAGGCATTTAAAGCAATCATGTACCAGAATACTACATATAATTTTCAAGTGATATAAAAACAAAAGGTAACTAGAAATAGTGAATTTAGAATACCCAAAGGAAATGGAAAGAGGCAAATTACCATGTATCAGCTCTTTACATATTATATCATTTAATTTGAAAACTGAAGAAAGAATTGGGTGTCATTCATTTTTAGAAAGGAAAACCAAGAACATGGTTGAGGTTTTCATTACTTATAAGCACCACAATTCTCCTAAAGTTCACTTTATTGACATTCTCAACTTAAAAATGTTATATTATTTACCAGCAAAGTCCAAAAGATAGTTTACATGCTTCAATATATTTCTTTTGTAAAGTATTGTACTTACCTTGTAAATGAAATTTGTTCTCCCAACTGATCCAATTTTCCCAGTGTGATTCATGAAACAAATGTTTCCTTCAGTAGCTCCATAAAACTCACACATCTTAATGTTTCCAAACCTGTCTAAAAATTCTCTCCATACATCACGCCTTACACCATTTCCAATTGCCAGACGCACTTGATGATCCTTTTCGCCTTCTCTCTGTAAAAAGAAAACATTTTACTTGTAATTTATTAATTACAGTTCTCAATTCTTTCTTTCACTGCTATTATTAAAGGGGCAAATACCCAGAAGTTACATATATGCATCAAAAGAAAGGAATGAAAACAACAAAAACATGTAAGTCTGTTGCAGAACCCTATCCAAGTGCTAATGAAACTAACAATAACACTAGTCCAAAGTAATACAGCTTTTATTATCCACATCTGGGAAAAGCTCCTTTACTATAATCTAAATTCCAGATTACTGAAATCTTGTTTTGGTTGAAATCAATAAGGAAGGGGGGCCTCCCTGGTGGCACAAAGGGTTAAGACTCAGCACCATGTTGGTGAGGGTGAGAAGAAAAAGGAACTCTCCTACACCGCTGGTGGGAATACAAACTGGTCCAACCACTATGGAAAGCTGTGCGGAGGTTCCTCAATGTGCTAAAAATGGAACTTCCATATGATCCAGCAATTCCACTCCTAGGTATCTACACAAAGGACACAAAAACATTAAATCAAAAGGACACCTGCACCCTTATGTTTTTTTCAGCACTATTTACAATAGTTAAGCTATAGAAACATCCCAAATGCCCAAAAATAGATGACTGGATCAAGAAGATGTGGTATATATACACAATGGAATATTACTTAGCAATCAAATAAGATAAACTCATGCCATTCGCAGCAACATGGATGGAGATGGAAGGGACCATGCTCAGTGAAATAAGCCAGAAAGAAAAAGAAAAATATCGATGGTTTCACTTATAGGAGGAATGTAGAGGATCCAAATAAGGGATCGGGGAAAAAAAAAGTAATTATATTAAAGTAAAAATAAAAATCAACAAGCAACTGTAAACTGGAGACATTCTGCAGAGGGGGAGAAGGGAGCAGGATGAAAACAGGGGTGGGAAGAGCACAAGGGACTATAGTGATGGTACACGGGTGAACGGGTGGTGGGAATTTCACAGGGACTATAATTGAGATGAAAATGCATACATACATTGTACAAAAATGAAAAATGATGTAAAAAATTAAAAAAAAAAAAAGACTCAGCACTATGAAGCTATCTGCAGCCACTGCAGCATGAGTTTAATCCCTGGCCAGGAAGCTAACCCACATGGTACAGCAGACCTCGCCTGTTTCACCCGCTGCTCCCCTCAGCAGTATTTTAGTCAATCTGCCTGTTCTGTTCCCCACTCTGTCTCTGATGAATCCTCTCACCCCCCCACACCTTTGGCCTGTACCCCAGCTCTTGTTTGCATAAATAAATAAATCTTAAAAAAAAAGAAATCAATAAGGAAGAAAGCATATTTCTGGTAAAAAAACTATTAAATGTATATTTGAATTTGCATTTTCAGCTCCATCACTTTTTATTTAGAATAAGTCTGTTTATTTTACTTTTTTCTATATAAATTTAAACAGTGTATTGCATCCTACACTGATTCTCAATTTTTCTGCAAAAACTGATATAACACCTACTCACTTATATGTTGTATATGTCTATAGGTAATATCCAAAGTTTATCATATAGTAAATAATAAATTGAGGTCATCTAATCACTGCAATTTTGCCTTGTAAATATTATAACAATTATTTGTAACTATTATTTTCAAATATGCAATATCCTATATTCAATAAACGCTATCTTAACATGAATTATACACTGATCAAAGGTTAAAGTAAGACTGTATTGTCAGAATAGTCATGGTAAATCCATTATTCTTTCTAAGTTGTCCCAAATCATCACCAAAAGTAGTACTAAACAACAAAAACTAATAATAAATTAAACAAATCAGTGTCTCTGGCAAAAAATGATTGATTGATGACATTCTTTATTTCAGTTCCTTCTCATTTTCATCATAAAGATTTTAATCTATTAACTTGCAAGAACAAAGATCTTGAATGTGAGTGGTGAACAATAATTCTGAAAAGATAATTAGAGGTATGTGAAGAAGCAGAGACGATAAGGCTGAAATCTAAGCGTGCAGGTGTCATAATTAACAAATACTCCCAGAAGTGTTAAGCAAGCATGAAAAAGAATGAAGAAGGCAGAAGGTCTGGCTGGAAATTTAAGGAGCAGCTGCACCCTAAATACATATAGATAATGACCTAGGGGTCTGCCCTCACTATGTAACAGGGTGGTCCCCAGGAAAGGGGGAGGTTCCCTGCCCCACCCAAGGGAGGGTGGAGCTGAGCAGGAAGAGGAGAAGCTGCAGAAGGGACTGAGGAAGGAAGGAGGATGGAGCCAGAAGGAGACCTGGAGGAGGCGCATGGAGCCTAGAGACACGTGAAGAAACTGCGCTTGTCTTTTGGTCGTGGACTGGGTGACACAGATGTGGGTGAGACCTGTGGGGAGGTGACCATGGCAGCTTTTATCTTGATGTTGATTTTGCTCTTTTCCTTCCGGGCTTGTCCGGTTGTTTGTGACCCTTTTCTGTGGGTCCCCACTGGAAGATGCTTTAGACTTGTGGCAGGCTTTGGGGCCTTGCTCTGGGCCAATCCCATATGGATGGACTTTTACCCACGAGGGGACGGGTAACTCTGGATGCTTCATTTAGAAACTAGACTCTTTGCCTTACCTGTATTGTTTCCTAGTTTTATTAAAGTTCCTTTTCATTAAAGTCTCCTATGTTTTGTGTTGATGCGGCGGATGGCAGAACCCATTTAGAACAGGCAGGTTTGCGGGGTTTGGGCTGCCCCTCTCCCTGTCCTATAACAACTACACACTGCCCTCACTACACACAAACTGGAAAAATCCAACTAGACAGAAGCCACTTTGGGTTGAAAAACCTATCACATATTTTAAAGTTAAAACAAAATCTGAATACTAAATGGTTAGATCTCTAAATTCTTCTGCTCTGATAGCAGAGCAAATCTAATCAACAGTGACAGAAATAGGAACAGTGCTCATTTGCATTTGGTAGGAAATGACCTGAAGTTATCCAGGAGGAATGTCTTTAAGAAAAAGGTTAATTGAAAGCCAGAAAGAAAAAGAAAAATACCGGATGGTCTCACTCATAGCAGGAATCTAGAAAACTTAAATAAGGGACCAGGAAAAAGAATAACTATAAGAACAAAAATATCAAAATCAACAAACAACTATGAGCCAGAGACACTCTGTGGGGGTTGGGGGGTGGGGGAAGGAGGGTTTGGGGTAAAAATAAGGGGGTTGTAATTGTATGGGGAATATAAAAATAAAATTTAAATAAAAACAAAAAACAAACAAACAAAAAAAACTTCTCTTCACCTTTGTATAAATGAAGACACAGGATTGTAACCTCTCAACTACATAAAAGAATTGTAAGAATCAATGAAGTGGTGTTAGGAAATGTGCCCCCCCCCATTCCTCCATAGAAGGGAAGTCCTTTGTAAACCATTTATACTTAATACAGAGAAAACAATCAAAAAAAAAAAAAGAAAAAGGTTAATTGAATAAAAATACTTGAAATGTTGTTAAATCATATTGAGACATTTCAGCTGTTTGATGCAGAGCTTGAGATGAATGGAATTTAGAAAGCAAAGTAGAAATAAACAAAGCAATTATGATAAGGAACAGAAAGTTGAATGAAACATTTTAATTATATTTTAACTATATTATGCATTTTAGCTAGGAATAAAATTTGTAGATTGTAATTTCTTTATAATAATTTTAAAAAATGATCATCAACATATGTTTAAACCTTCATAATTATTTTGATCAGAGAGGTCACTGCTATTATCCTATATAAAAACAGCAGCTTTGCAAATCTTAGGATTTATTCTCCCTAATCAGATAACTGTCTTTTATATGGCATAACTTTCTATGCTATTCAGGGTTGGGGTGAGTTTTAGCAAGTGTCGCTATTTATAAAATATATTGGCACACTCTGGAAACCCATAAGAAATTTACATCAAACTCCATACACTTTAACTTATATGGGCTATTGCTATGCAAGTTTTTTATAGAATAAGAATAATTATTCATGCAAAATGAGTCAATTGATACAGAAAATCAAATTATCAAAACATTCAGGACAAGGTTTTTGTCTAAACATAAAAATAATTTAATTTAGGGCCTCCCTGGTGGTGCAGCAGTTGAGTGCTGGGCTGCGAAGCTGCCCACAGCCTCTGCAGCGCCAGTTCAATCCCCAGCCGCCGGGTGAGGGTCCCACATGGCGCACAGACCTCTCCTGCTGTGCCCGCTGCTCCCCTCAGCAGTGTACTTCATCAGTCTGTCTGCTCTGTTCCCCGCTCTGACTCTGGTGAATTCTCTCACCCTCCCGTGCTTCTGACTGTACCCAGTGCTTGTATAAATAAATAAATAAATCTTTAAAAAAAAAATCATTGATTTACATGAGATATCTTTGTTTTATTTTTTTCTCCTCTGAAATGAAAGTTAGATCATGGTTTGAGGGGTATGAGGAAAGATTAAGTGATCCAGTTAGTGTTGTGGGGGAAGAGAATGTATATTTATTTACCTCTCCTGCTGTTAAAATGCACACACATCATGGAAAATTTGGAAAGAAAAATAAAAACATTAAAAATTGTATTATTCTACCATACCACTATTACTGTTTCTATATCCATATATATGAAAACTTCTGTCACACTGTACCTATGCTTATATATTCTGTCTTATTAATTTATTTTGAATATTGTTTTAAGCTATCAGCTCTTATTCTTTAAAAATGTGATTCCCCAAGTTTATTTTTGATAGCCACATTATTTTTAAATATCACCCTTATAAATAATACTGAGTTAATATCTTGTCTATAAATCTTTGATATAAACATTTTTATGACTCTATTACCAAATTGTTATATAAAAAGTACATTATATTTGTACCAAACTTCAGCAATCCAGTCAAATTAAGGATTTGCATATAATTTAAAACATTTTCATTTTCAATTTGATAAGAAAATGCATTTGTATTTAATTTGTTTTTCTTTGATTTTAGGCAAATTAACAACTTGTCATATATTAGTAATAAGATTAATAATTTAATAGTTAGCAGTATTA